AGTTATGATAAACGTCAAAATGTTTAATATAGTTTAAATTATTTAAATTGGTTTACTGACTTTTATTATGTATCATCTTCCTTAAAATGTGTTTCTTAGAATTTGTTTTGTTTGCTTGTTTTCTTGTATAAGCAATTCTAATATTTAAATACTTTTCAGGAACGGCTTTCGTTTATTCTTCGACGTGATTCACGTCGTCGTTTTCAAATTTGTAGAAATGAATGTCTTCGTACCTTCGATCAACAATACCAACTAGATGTCGGATCGGCGCAAGAAATTTCTTTTATTTTATTTTCAGGTTTCCACATCGAAGTCAAAGTGGAATAAATTCGTCCATTTTTAGCTCTCGCGTACCCAGCATTAATGAACGTCTCTTATTCCAATTTAAATAAATATCTTTGTAATTTAAATGTTATGTTAATAAGTTTTGTTAAACATACATTTCGTATGTTTTTTTTGTATATTTGACATAGATACCTTTTAATATATTCAGATAAAAATATCATTAAAATGTAATTGTGATAGAATATTATGTAATATTATATTAAATAAGCAAGTATAATATACAAAATAAATGACAAAATTTAAATATTGTTCTGGATACAATTTACCTATTTAACAATACAATCTACTATTACCTACGGATCATTCTACCTATGTTTATTCTATGATAAAAAAAACAAACGCGCGAACACAGAGTAGCGCACAGTTTTTTTGAAATAGCTGTGCGTTGTTCTAGTACGTAAGGTACACATTACTTCAATGAATGAGTATGATGTTTTCTTTTAAATACTTTGACAGTACAATGATGTCGTACATACAGTCTCTGATAAATATTGAATTATCCTAATTTATTGCTAAAACAGTGCATATTCACTTATTTAGCCTCAAAAAAGAATATTTTATGAATAATACTAGTATAAATGAAGAATTGAAATAAAAAAAACCAATTTTAGACTCGATGTCTTCGATGGGTTGAAAGAGACCTATCTAGTGGCATATTATGGAACTCGATATTGGTTTCATAGTTGTTGAACGGTTGGTTTCGTATTCAGAAACGCAGGGACAGTTAACCGACGTATATCTTACAGATAACATTATTGAATCAATAGCTAATGGGAATATAACTGGGAACTTCAGAAACCAAGCATAACACATATAACGTTAATTATTATACTACGTGGACCATAGAATCGAACAGAATTTTCGCATTGTCGTCGTTTGGTTGGGATAAAATATTATGATACGTACGTACGTCAGTTCTATTCAAATTCAAGACCCTTATTAAATTACTTCTAGAAGCCGCAAATCGAACACATTCCATCAATAAATGGTGTAGGCTATAACTCCACAGTCTTCACAAACTTGAATGATGTACCTATTATTGTTTTATTTCTCAACTAGGTAACATGTTCGTTTGTGTCCTTCCTGTATTTGATAATTTCTTAATCATCATGATCATTACCATCACAGCCCTTCACAAGTCTCTTCATAGAGTGCCACATTTCTTACTTATTTAAAATAGAATTAAGCACAACTGCGCTCATGTATGCATTTTTATAGACGGAAAACTTTAACACATTTTTCTTTCGCATATTTGTTTCAGAATATTAAACAGAACTCTGCATTATTTTTTACGATAAAGCAGTAGTTTAAATACTGCACATTAATTGAGATTAAGAATAGTATATGACAAAATGGGCGAAAAATAAGAAATAAATTTAAAATATAATATGGTCTTATATTGATAAAATATCTATAACAATAGTTTAAAGTCATTGCTATGTTTTAGCTTCGATTGAGAAGGAACAAAGCCAGGATGTACTTCTACTTGATAAATATTTTATTATTCGTACCGTTTCCATGAATTTCACGATAATAAGTTTATTGTCTTTAATATAAATCACTAATACTCGTTATCACTTTATCATCGTTATCAGTATTCAGTTAATATAAATATAGGTCTCGAGATGTTTCGTATGACTGAGATAGTACACACGAGTCGAGTGTAACTTAGTGACTCAAACTATTAAAAGGTGAGTAGTCACAATTGCATTATGGTTATTTTGTTAATGATTTCATTAAATCTGTAAAATTTATTTAGCTAAGATCCGCGTTAAAAATAAAAATAATAATAATATCTTGCATAGTTTGAACAGCACCTTCTACCCTCACTCACCTTTTGAGCCCAACGAAGTAATTTTAACATAATCACTAAAATGGATTTTCGTAAAGTACCGCTTGATTGTATTTATTATAATGAATTTACTGTTTCACGGAATAATTATTATCTAAATTTCGGTTAAATTTTTCGTGCAACAAGTTTTTTTTTTATTTTTTATTTTTTTTTGGGGTAACGGGGCGCGCGGTCCACGTGGCCCTCTTGCGGAAATGCAGTGGCCAGAGGGGGGGTTGTCGTGTCGTGGTGTGTTACGACTGGGTGCTGCGCGCCGACCTCCCTACCGGCGTCAGCGTAGTTTGCTACGCTGACGACACGCTGGTACTGGCACAAGGAGGGTCGTACGAGGCGGCGGCGGAAACTATGACACGCGGGGTTGCGATAGTCGTTGAGAGGATTCGGCAACTGGGTCTCGAGGTGGCTCTGCACAAGTCCGAGGCCATGCACTTCCATGGTCCTCGGAACAGGCCACCACCGGGATCCTCAGTGATGGTAGGAGGGGTATCCATTGGCGTCGAGTCGACGCTGAAGTACCTAGGACTCGTCCTCGACGGCCGATGGAACTTCGTTGAGCACTTCCGACGTTTGGCTCCCAAACTGGAACGGACCGGGGCTGCCTTCAGGCGGCTCCTGCCGAACCTGGGAGGGCCAAACGCCTCCTGCCGGAGGCTCTACGCGGGGATCGTACGGTCCATGGCCCTTTACGGGGCCCCGGTATGGGCGCGTGGTTTGGCGCGGCTTGCCGTCCACCACCTGAACGCGCCCCAAAGGGTGATGGCCGTGAAAATGGTTCGCGGCTACCGCACGATCTCCCGCGAGGCGGCGAGCCTCCTTGCCGAATTGCCGCCATGGGATCTGGAGGCGATAGTCCTCGCGCGCCTGCACGAATGGCGCGCGGAGGCACTACGCCGTGGGGAAACCCCGCTGCCGCGGCAAGTTGTCGCGCAGCGGACAGACTTCCGGCACGATCTTATGGCGACATGGAGACAGCGACTGTCGCAACCCCGTGCTGGGCACGCCACTATAGCGGCGATAAGACCCCTCTTTGAGGAGTGGCTTGAGAGACGCCACGGCATCCTCACCTTCCGCCTGACGCAGGTCCTCACCGGACACGGTGTGTTCGGGAGATTCCTGCACCGAATTGGGCGGGAGGAAACGCCCGGGTGCTCCCACTGCGAGGATGAACCGGAGGACACGGTGGAACACACCGTGGAGGTGTGCCCTGCTTGGGCGGAGCACCGCCGTGTCCTCGTAGCAGCGATAGGCGGCGGCGACCTCTCGCGTCCGGCCCTGGTCGTAGCCATGGTCCGGAGCGAGACGGAATGGGATGCCGTCACCACCTTCTGCGAAGCAGTGATGCTAGCGAAGGAGGTGGCGGAGCGGGAGAAGGAGAGAGCAGCAGCTTTCCTCCCCGGCCGCCGCGGGAGACGCCCTGGGCGTCGGGGGCTACGTCGTGGCCCCCGGCCACCGTAGGCGCGGGCCTGTGGACGGCGAGCAATTGGTAGCTCGCCGTCCGTCCGTCTAACGAAGACAGGCCGTGTCGACGGCGCGTTTTGTTCCACGCGCGCCTCAAAGAGCTGTCAGCAGCGTGAAGGTGCCCGCAAGGGCCGACGCCTGCCGGGGCTGCGGGCTGTTCGAAAGAGATACCGCGGCTCCGGAACGTAAGGGCACTGAAGGAACACGGATGGTTTTTAGTCAGTAAAAGTCTGACTCTCCCTTACGCTCTACCCAGAGCGAAAGGCGTCATTAGATGATTTTCCATCCGCAAAAAAAAAACCATCCGCTTAATTAAATACAATGATGTGTCTTACCTGGAATGATTGGATTTACTTAGCGGTCAGCCACCGTAGAGTCAACATCACCTAAACATGCCTCGTGTAGAGGCGAAACACGTGTCGTATTATCGTCGATGGTGTGTCTTTTCTGGAATAGTGGTGTTGGGAGTAGTGGTGCCGGGAGTAGTGGTGCTGGGACTAGTGGTGCTAGGATTTGTGGTGACGGGATTAGTGCACGCAATTGAGAAGGGCGGGAGGTGCTTTTCAATCCAGGTAAGCCACATCATTGTATTTAATTAAGCGGATGGAAGCGAATTAAATTTTAATATCTTTTTTATAAATTAATATTAATGTTGAATAAATAACTAAACAGACACCATTATTTTGCTGTAATTTTTACATCAAATGCTTTTTGTAATGGATGTGTTTTTTTATTATTATTTAGTACTAAGCAGCAATTAGATGTTAAGTGAGATCACATAATAGCGTAGTAAGAATATCCACCACTGTCCCATATCTCTTACTGTGAGTGTCGTGAAACGCGAAAGAGCGAGAGAGTAGCGTCTTCCTTTTAACAAATAGAAAATAAAAAACTGCAACCCTATCAGCGTGGCAACTATGGCAAAATTCTCCATATGAGATAATCTATGTGGAAGCCTATGAATTAATGAAAACGTGAAAGGATAGAATCAAATAGCTAAATGATATGTAAACATTTTTTTGCACCACATTTATTTATTTACAAATTGTATTTGGGGTTTTTTAACTCTGCATTTGCGGGGAAGTAGGAATATTGCCATAAGATTTCGCTTTAATGATCCGCGTGTCAGTTAGTTCAGATGTGAATAACATTTTTTCAAAATATTAAATTTAGTAAGTTATCTATTGTGAACTTTAAATTCCTATTGCTTTATGTCCCTAAAACGACCACGGGGTTGTATGTCATATACCTTATAGATATTATTTAAGTAGCTTTGAAAATATATCAAGTACCTGTACCTGAAGAAGTTTAATATTTAATTAGTAATAATAGTTTTTTTCCGCAGATGAAATTCTATCTTCTGTGTATCACACTAGCAGCCTTAGCAGCTGGCTTTAGTGCCTCAATCGTGAAGTCACCGTCTTCAAGATCCAGTTTGTACTACGGATATATAGAGCCTGGTGATCGGCTGCTTAACAGGTCTGTGTGATCTTTATGTAATGTATTAATTTATAAACTTATTTTATTTCTTTCTTTTCTTCTATATTTATTATATTATTATATATATTTATTATATTATTATATATATTTATTATATTATTATTTTAGAAGCGACAGTAGCCTAATGGCAGGATGCGGCGTGGGGGTTTGGGTGGGGGGGAATACTGTGAACTCTAAAAGGTCATGGGTTCGAATCCGCCATTCGACTACTGGCGTGAACCACTCGTAACACAAGCAATTTAAGCTTACCACGAGTGGTTAAGGAGAATATTAATAATGTTTATAGCATAGTTAATATTCTTTAAAAAAAATAAAATAAAATATTTATATTGCTTACTATATTTGTTCTGGCGTAAAGAAGATGTTTATACCACCATCTGTCTGGCGGTAAAAACATCTTTTTTACGCCAAACGTAAAATACCTAGACTGTCGAAGGAGAGTAGCGTCAAAGGTGTGAGACATCTGGATTTGCTATGGCCAATTTGCCTTCCAAGTGTGACAATTAAGACAAATCCTTCCAACAGTGGAAGAGGCCCATGCCCAGACGTGGACTTGAATGGACTAATTAAAAAGAAGAAGGTATAAAATGTTAAGCACCTGGAATGGGACAAGGAGCAGTATCAAAGGGCGAGATATCTGGCGAAACACCTCCGCATTGTAAAAAGAAATCCTAGAGTGCGGTGTGTGACGTTCATAAAAAAAATGTTTTGTTGAAAAATCATTTCAGAAATCAGCTAACAAAATTTTCAGTACCTACTCATTAACGTACACTTGAATTTGTTGGAAAATATCACATGAAGTTGTTGAGTAGAAAAAATTGTCCGACTAGGTAAATTCAATTTGGACCTAGAGGTCAATCGGCGAATTCAAATTGGGCAGCGTTCGAGAGATTACGACACACACAACACAAGAGAACAACAACCGGTGTGCGTTCCCAGAGATGACATATGGATCTGAGATGTGGTTCTTCACTGCTGACCATAAGAGAAAACTCATGGTCGCTCAGCGGGCTATGGAGAGAGCAATGTTCGGAGTTTCTCTGCGCGATAGACTTCGTAATGAGGACATCCGCAAAAGAAATAGTGTTATCGATATAGCCAACGGATCTGTAATCCTATGTAGCAACAGCAAGGTACTATAGCTAGAAGAGCTAAGAAATCTTCAAAAAACTACGATCGACGCGTGCTAACTAAGAAAAAAAATGTTTCCCTTATTAACCATTGAAATCGTATAATCATTTAAATCCAACATCATCTTGGTCAAATTTATACTTATTCTCATATATATATATATATATATATATATATACCTCGGACGTAACAAGCTAATCATTTATCACAATTGAGGTGCTACCTAGGCTTATTTTTATCAATTCAATCATTTGTTCTCAGAACTTACGTTTGGCAACCGGCGATCCCCAACACTGTTCAGTCTCAAGATGTAATTTACCGTGGGAATTATACGACTAGGATATCAGCCATTCAGGCGGTCGAGATTGGATACACGCAGTACGCAACACCTTGGTTGCTGTATGGAGGTATTGGTGCCAACAACGTCGGAATTAGGATTCAATCGGCGAGAGGTTATGGATACAGCTATGTTGTCGACATTTGGGGACGATAAATTTCTTATTTTATAATTTAACGGAATAGTACCTGCAATAAATGTAATTTAAAATAAACTTATTTTGATATTCGTATTTTATTATCGTTTCATTCATATCATAGCCTTTTCAGTCTACATTACTAGCCTATGGTCTTGTCAAGAATGCACATGCTTGCCTGGCATTGACTGAAAGAAAGGCTCACACTCCATTCTGGGCATGTGAATACAGAGCTGGCACCCGTGCAATGTTAATGCCTTTAATAGAAATTAAGGTGACAAACGAGCACACTGTCCATCTGATTGTAAGTGAATGATGTGGCCCATAGACACCTCAATCAGAAGTTAAGAGTTAAAAATGTCTATCTTCAATCAGAAGTTAAGAGTTAAAAACGTCTATCCTCAATCAGAAGTTAAGAAAAACGACTATCCTCGATCAGAGTAGTTAAAAACGTCTATCCTCAATCAGAAGTTAAGAGTTAAAAACGTCTATCCTCAATCAGAAGTTAAGAGTTAAAAACGTCTATCCTCAATCAGAAGTTAAGACTTAAAAACGTCTATCCTCAATCAGAAGTTAAGAGTTAAAAACGTCTATCCTCAATCAGAAGTTAAGAGTTACAAACGTCTATCCTCAATCAGAAGTTAAGAGTTAAAAACGTTTATTCTCATCAGAAGTTAAGGTTAAAAACTTTTCAATCAGAAGTTAAGAGTTAAAAATTATTAAAAACGCTAGCAATATCAATAAAGAGTTCTCTGTATATCTAACAATATACTTAACTTACAGCAGGTGGCGCGCGTATCTTATCGACAAATTTATTTGCAAGTTAAATAACATTCCACTTCAATTAGTATATTATTATTCCTAATTAAACGATATAAGAACTCATCCAAAGTTAAAATAATATTTCTACAATTGCATGCCTCACAACGTGAGGGAGTGCTCTACTCTCGATATGTGGCGATACTTCAACTTCGATACAATAAATTGTTCTCATACTTTTACTTAGACATCAAATCCATATATTATTAACGTTACAATAACTACAGACATTTAATTATAATACTAGTTTATTTTCAAGTTGACTCACTTTAGATTACATAACAAAAATGTACTGAAAAAATATATGGACTACTAAAAGTTCTTATTTGTCAAATGCAATGCCATTTATTTCAATATACCTAGACCGAACTAAAAAAGTTTGTAGTAATAAAAATGTATTAAATACGGAACATCTTATACATAAGGAAGCATGCAGCTGACATTAAACTTACATTATTAATTGTACAGTGCTCCTAAAGGGTGAACATATAAAAATTACAGCTTTTAAAGGTAAATAATTAGAGTTGTGAATGTGTTTAATCTGGTTTGAACAGAGAAAGGGTGATTGAGAAAAGAGTGACAAAGCAAATTAACGCTTCAAAATTAAGTTGGCAAGGGATATCTAAACGGAAATTTATCAAATAAATTAGCAACGTATTGAAGACGGGCTACATTAAGAGTACCCTTATCCGATGAACACGTATGCTTAGATATATGACTGTGTAAGTCAGAGAGGTGTCAGGATCGTGCCAAATGGAAATCCGTAATTTCTGCCTATCTTTACGACTGAGAGTCGAGATAATTTCACCTGCTGCTTCGATCATAGTTTATTACCCGACTGCCCAGAAGAAGGATAGTGTTTTTCGAGTGATTTCTTTTATTTATGTTCTGTATCCTAAGCTGTTGGATTTTAACATAAGGGACGTTGTTAGATTTGCCTTATTTGTAGAAGTGTCACTAATAACGTGTTTGATAATTTACTACAACGCTAGTTCGCTTTAGCCGCAGTTGACAAGTAGCAAATAAGTTATAGTTTCACAGCCTGTAATTGAAATCAAAATTAGAACACAACAGTCAAACCTGCGAGACGTGTTGTATTGCGATTGACAATTTACTTGCCAGTTATACTTTCGAGAATGAAAGACGTCCATGTCAAATAATGATATATTCCCCACGTTTCGAGTACTTTGCAACACCCATGGTCACGCAATCCTCCAGAATCTTTGGACCAATAAATTTTATTAACAAATGAATTTTGTTTGAGTTTGTTTCGTTGACCGTGTATGTAGGCCGCGACAAGAGTGATCAAGCATGTTTACAAAACTGTACGGAATCTGTGTTGTGTATTTTCACAAACAGTTGCTAGAATGATAAGAGAGCTATAAGTAATTATATAGAATTTAATTTTAGTTTATTAATTTCATTTAATTCTATGAAAATGCTAGAAAGAGATACTCTCTTTAACGGATTTTTTTTAATATATAATAAAGGGCAAACGAATATGCAACTCATCTAATTAGTGATCACGGACGCCCATAAACATCCGCAACACTAGAGGAATTGCATGTGTTGCTGGTCCTTAAGACAGGAGCAGCTTCTTTTCTTTGAGGTCAGGACAAACAGCTGGCGTAAGTAATTTCGGCAATATGGTCGTGATCATCATCATCATCATTACAACCCTTCACAAGCCCAATGCTGAAAATAACCCAAATAAGCCTCACCGAAGTTGGAAGTGCCACAATTTAGCAATGGCCGGCCCGTTGGTTGTGGTTTGTTCTTCTATTTATTTAACCAGATAGCCCTCTCCATAGCTGGCTGAGCAATATTGAGCTTCTCCACCACGTCTCAGATCCATAGGTCATCACTGGGTTGAAAGGTATGTCTGAAGAGAAGATGTGTCGTAATCTCCCGAACGCTGCTCAGCCGACTTGAATCCGTCAATTAACCCCTCGGTCGAAGTTGGACTTACCTAGTCGGACTACTACTCCCAGGTAAACATACTCGTCAACAACTTCGTGCTTAGTGCTCCCAACAACCACTGGCATAGGTGTGACATGGACATTAAATATCATCTTTGTTTTGTCCATGTTCATCTTAAGTCCTATCCGTTGGGAGATACTATTAAGGTAATAATTGAGCATAGTGCTTAGGTTCTTCATTGATTCTGCCGTAAGGGCTATATAGTTGGCAAATCGACAGTATCACTTACCTCACCACTGAGGTTAATACCGTATACTGTTCAATCCAGTAGCTTGTAAACGTCTTCCAATGCAGTGGTGAAGAGTTTCGGGGATATTACGTTGTATCTGCAGTTAGATAGGTTTCGTACTCTCATTCTGTACTCGGATAGCCATAGTAGCCCTACTATATAAACACTTCAGCATTTTGATACACCAACAGTCGACTTGAGATTGCTGAAGAGACTGCAGTACTGCCCAAATTTCGATGGAGTCAAAGGTTTTCTCATAGTCAACATAAGTAAGACAAAGTGGCAGATTGTTCTCTTCGGACTTCTGTACAATTTGCCGCATTGTATGTATGTAGTCTATGGTGCTCAAGCCTTTTCGGAAGCTGGCTTGTTTAGGAGGCTCAAAGTCCTAGAGTCGGCTTGTGAGATGATTCGTAATGACTCTCGAAAACTGCAAGTAACCGCGGCTCAGAAGGGAAATCAAACTGTAGTTCTTCAAGAGAGCGTTGTCGCCTATCTTGAAGAACAAGACCAACGCACTTCTGCTCCACGCCTATGGAGTAGTGCTACCATGGAGGATGGAATTGAAAAGCTTCTGAAGGACTTTAAGTATCGATTATCCACGCGCTTTAGAAGCTCCGCTGTAATTCAATCCTCGCCTGGGGCCCCGCCGTTTTTAAGGTGCGGTAGAGCCATTCTAATCTCGCTCAGACTGACGTCTAGGATATCATCGGAAAATTGTCGGGTAAGACTTGCTCTTGCATCGTTACTCACGCTTGCGTGTGGCTCTAACGTTGACGTGTACAGTTGCCCATACAACCTCTCAATCTCACTCAAAATCTCAGGTGTCCCGGAAACAATGCTGCCACATTTGGTCTTCAGCTTCGACGTAAGGGGGATTGGCAGGCCGGTTAGCAACTGCTTTTTTTTTTGTAGCAGCGCCTTTCTTATAACAAGGAAGGCGCTGCTGCCCTTCTGCTGGTTTGTTATTCTATGTCAACACCCTCTTACTACAACCGCTTTGGTCTTCAGCTTCGACATAAGGGGATTGGCAGGCCGGTTAGCAACTGCTTTTTTTTATTTTTTGTAGCAGCGCCTTCCTTATAACAGGAAGGCGCTGCTGCTGCCCTTCTGCTGGTTTGTTATCCTATGTCAACACCCTCTTACTACACCCGCTTTGGTCTTCAGCTTCGACATAAGGGGGATTGGCAGGCCGGTTAGCAACTGCTTTTTTTATTTTTTTGTAGCAGCGCCTTCCTTATAACAAGGAAGGCGCTGTTGCCCTTCTGCTGGTTTGTTATCCTATGTCAACACCCTCTTACTACACCCGCTTTGGTCTTCAGCTTCGACATAAGGGGGGATTGGCAGGCCGGTTAGCAACTGCTTTTTTTATTTTTTGTAGCAGCGCCTTCCTTATAACAAGGAAGGCGCTGCTGCCCTTCTGCTGGTTTGTTATTCTATGTCAACACCCTCTTACTACAACCGCTTTGGTCTTCAGCTTCGACATAAGGGGGGATTGGCAGGCCGGTTAGCAACTGCTTTTTTTATTTTGTAGCAGCGCCTTCCTTATAACAAGGGAAGGCGCTGCTGCCCTTCTGCTGGTTTGTTATCCTATGTCAACACCCTCTTACTACACCCGCTTTGGTCTTCAGCTTCGACATAAGGGGGATTGGCAGGCCGGTTAGCAACTGCTTTTTTTATTTTTTGTAGCAGCGCCTTCCTTATAACAAGGAAGGCGCTGCTGCCCTTCTGCTGGTTTGTTATTCTATGTCAACACCCTCTTACTACAACCGCTTTGGTCTTCAGCTTCGACATAAGGGGGATTGGCAGGCCGGTTAGCAACTGCTTTTTTTATTTTTTGTAGCAGCGCCTTCCTTATAACAAGGAAGGCGCTGCTGCCCTTCTGCTGGTTTGTTATCCTATGTCAACACCCTCTTACTACACCCGCTTTGGTCTTCAGCTTCGACGTAAGGGGGATTGGCAGGCCGGTTAGCAACTGCTTTTTTTTTTGTAGCAGCGCCTTCTTTATAACAAGGAAGGTGCTGCTGCCCTTCTGCTGGTTTGTATCCTATGTCAACACCCTCTTACGACACCCGCGGGACGATGGGTTCGTGGATATTCTTACAATGCCACTACACGGTATATCTGACCGAATCATTGTTTTTTTTATTTCAAAAATACTAGCAGTGCTATTCACATTACTAATATTCCTTGTAAGTTATGTAATATTCCTCGTAAATTACTAATATTCCTGGTAAGCTTAGAACGCTTGTATTAAGAGTTGTTTAGAACAGTAGTTGAATTATTTTTAATAAAAGACTTCAAGAAAATCTTGGTTTTTTATTAAATAAAGGTGACAAACGAGCACACAGTCCAACTGATGGTAAGTGGTTGCTGTGACCCATAGGCATCTACATTTACCTCGATTAAGGATCAAATCGCAAATGCGTTGTCACCCTTGACGACTAAGGTAGAATGCCTCGTTTCCAGTAAAAAAAGGGTCTCCAGATCTCTACACTCACTAAACGAAACCTGCTGTGTTTATATGTTGTGCTAACTTAAGCTGTTATTATACGCTGATATTCTGTGAGAGCGTGGAACCGAGCCGGTCGAGCCAATCTATTTGTGCCACAACCATTATATAGCTGCAGCTTTACAGTCTCCTGGCTCTACCACGTACAATTGTTTATTACATAAAATTTTATAGCTTAAGAAGAATATAGCTTGAATGATTTTTTTATTATACAATTATTTAAGGGACACTTACCTTATCTTAGCGTATGTCAATCCCATCATACCCTAACATGCATCACTAACTCTTGAAATGATTTTTATTATACTACGTGGGCCATGGGTTCAAACAGAACTTTCGCATCGTAGCCGTTTGGTTGGGATAAAATATCATGATACGTACGTACATCAGTTCTATTCAAATTCAAGACCCTTATTAAATTACTTCTAGCAACCTCATTCGAACACATTCCATCAATAAATGGTGTAGTTCAAAGTCACACAACACAGTCACAGTCTTCACAAACTGGAATGATGTACCTAATTATTGTTTTATTTGTCAACTAACATGTTCGTTTGTGTCCTGTGTTTGATAATTTCTTGATCATCATCATCATTACCACCACAGCCCTTCACAAGTCTCTTCATAGAATGCCACAACCACAACATTTCTTACTTATTTAAAATAGAATTAAGCACAACTGCGCTCATGTATGCATTTTCATAGACAGAAAACACTAACAAATATTTCTTTCGCCTCACACACAATTGTTAGTTGACAAACAAATAGCTGTTTCAAAATATTTAGCACAACTCTGCATTATTTTTTTACGATAAAGCATTAGTTTTGGCTTGCTCATTAATTGAGATTAAGAGTAGTATATAACAAAATTGACGTAAAATAACAAATAAATTGTAAATTTAATATGCTGTTATTTTGATAAAACATCTATAACATTTGTTTAAAGTCATTGCTATGTTTTAGCTTCGATTCGAAGGAACAAAGCCAGGATTTACTTCTACTTAATAAATATGTTATTATTCGTACCGTTTCCTTGAATTTCAGGATAATGGGTTTATTGTCTTCAATATAAATCACTATTACTCGTTATCATTTTGTCATTTTATCATCGTTATCAGTATTCAGTTAATATAAATATAAGTCTCGAGATGTTTCGTATGACAGAGATAGTACACACAAGTTTATTGTAACTTAGTGATTCAAATTATTAAAAGGTTAGTAATAATTATTGTATTATTGTTGTTTTGTTATTGTGTTATGTTAATAATTTTATTAAATATGTTGAAATTAATTAGCTAAGATCCGCGTTAAAAATAAACATAATGTGTCTCGCATAGTTTGAACAGCACCTTCTCTACCTTCACTCCCCTTTTGAGCCAAGCCAATATGATGAAATTTAACATGTTCACTAAAATGGATTTTCGTAAAGCAACGCCTGATTGTATTAATTATCATGATTTACTGTTTTATGGAATAATTATTAAGTATATAAATTTTTGTTTAATTTTTCATGAAATTGTATTAATCGAAATATTTTAATATTTTTTATAAATTAATATTAATGTTGAATAAATTAGTAAACAGAGGTATTTGCTATATTTTTTTAATTTATAATTTTTACACCGCATAGTTTTTGTAATGGATATGTTTTGTTTATTATTTAATATTAAGAGTTTATTAAGATGTTAAGTTAGTTAACATAATAGCGGAGTAAGAATACGAGTATCCACTATCCCATATCTTACTGAGTGTCGTAAGATTCGACAGAGCGAGAGAATTGGCAGAAAATAAAAGAGCTGCCAACCCGCCTGTCAAGCGTGGCAACTGGCAACTGTGGCAAACTCCTCCATATGAGATAATCTATGTGGAAATCTTTGTTCAGCAGTGAACTGTTGATAGACTGTTGTAATGATTAATGAAAATGTGAAAGGATAGAATCAAATAGCTAAATGATGTGTAAGCATTTTTTTGTAATACATTTATTTTTACAAATTGTATTTGGGGAGTAAGAATATTGTCATAAGTTTCTGCGTTAATGATGCGTGTGTCAGTTAGTTCAGATGTGAATAACACTTTCTCAAAAGATTGAATTTACTAAGTTACCTACTGTGAACTTTCAAATCCCTGCAATAACGACCAAAAAGTGTTCACTGAATGCCACGGTTATATGTGGGACCCTTGTTTGTCACATACTGCATAACATTACATAAAATATGTTGTATGTGGAATGACGAAAAGTTTAGATATTTCATTAGTAATAATCGTATTTTTCCCGCAGATGAAATTCTATGTTCTGTGTATCACACTAGCAGCCTTAACAGCTGGCTTTAGTGCCTCAATCGTGAAGTCACCGTCTTCCAGATACAGTTTGTACTACGGATACATAGGGCCAGGTGATCGGCTGCTCAACAGGTCTGTACCGTATATGTCTGATCTTTATATAATATATTACTTAATATTTTCAACAATTTTCTTTCGTTTCTTCCTTCTATATTTTTATTACTAAATATATTCCTTCTGGCGTAAAATATCCAGACCAGCGGAGGAGAGTAGCAACGAAGGTGTGTGACATCTGGATCTGGATAACTTTCCTTACATGTGTGACAATAAAAACAAATCCTGCCCAAAATAGAAGAGGCTTATATCCAACCGTAGTCTTTTATGGGTTGGTTTAGAAGGGAGACAATCAACGAATTCAACTCTGCTGGGCAGCATTCAGAAGATTACGATCTTCATCGTCATCTTCTCGACACGTATACTTCAAACGTGAAAACTAGGGTGTACAAGCAGTGCGCGATCCCAGTGATGATATATAGATCTTAGCTTTGGTCGTTCACTGGTGGCTGTAAAGGGAAGCTCAAGGTCGCTCAGCGAGCTGTGGAGAGGGCTACGTTCGGAGTTTCTCCGTAAGATAGAATTCGTAATATGGATATCCGGAGTGGAACTAGAGTAACCGATATAGCCAACGGATCAGTGACTATGTAGCTCCGGCTGGCCCAATTTATAGCTCGAACAAACAACAAAATTTCAAATAAACTGTCACGTGCTCACTAAGAAAAAATATTTAACTTAATAGCATTTCATATCATCTTGTCATTCAATTCCTCAAATCGAACATCATCTTGCTTGAACGTATACCTGTTTTTGATTAAATAAAACTTCGAACGTAACCAGTTGATCATTTATCACAACTGAGATAATATAATACCTGGATATATTTTTATCATTTAAATCTTTTGTGTTTAGAACTTACGTTCAGCAACCGGCGATCCCCAACACTCTTCAGTCTCAAGATGTAATCTACCGTGGGAACTATACGACTAGGATATCAGCCATTCAGGTGGTCGAGCTTGGATACACGCAGTACGCAACACCTTGGTTGCTGTATGGTGGTATTGGTGCCAACAACGTCAGCATTAGGATTCAATCGGCGAGAGGTTATGGGTACAACTATCTCATCGACATTTGGGGACGATAAATTACTTATTTTATAAATTAACGAAATAGTACTTGCAATAAATGTAATTTAAAATAAAATTATTTTGATATTCGTATTTTGTTATCGTTTCATTCTTATCATAGCCTTTTCAGTCTACATTATTAGCCAATGTTCTTGTCAAGAATGCGCCTGCCGGCCTGGCATTGACTGAAAGAATGGTTTACACTCCATACAGGGCATGTGAATGCAGAGCTGGCAGGCGCGAAACGTAATGTCTTTAATTGAAATTAGGATGACAAACGAGCACACAGTCCACATGATTGTAAGTGAATGATGTAGCCCTAAGATACCTAGCTAGCTAGCAAAATCAGTAGAGTTCTCAGTAGAACCTTTAAAAATTGATTTATTTATTGTTACTTTAATACGGTAAAACAAATAGCATTAATTAAAGACAACGTATTTGTTCTTCTCGCTCACAAATTTTCGGGCATTCTAACAATATTACCGTCCACTCATCCGCAAACTGGTCGCACTCAGGGTTTGTGTCAAGGAGAGCGGTAAGTGCGGTGAGCACACGAGGAACAGACGAGTTGACGCGAGCAATGTCCGTGCTATGAGCACGCACAAAAGAAGATTATTATTAAGATTACATTAGTTATTTAACCATAAGTTTGATACTAGGATTGCATACTAGATATATTTTGTTGTAGTGATTGTTTATTAGTTTATTAGTATTGTATTTAGTATTCATACATTCGTAACAGCTTTTCAAAAGTCCGCTGTTGAACAAACTCTTGCTCCCGCTTCGTAGAAGAGATATTTGCCATAATTATTACACTAATTGTCGAATTAGCTACTGCAGTTTTTTTTATAACTTTAAGTTTTTATCAGTTACTGTCGCCCATCTCCTGTTTCAGTTTTCTTCTTCAGCCTCCACAACTTACAACATCCACGGGACAATATGGTGCAGTGGATATTCTTACACAGCCACTATATGGTTACATATATTATTAAATAAATCTATTATGATTGCTTTATCGTCTGGAAAAAAAATAGGGTATAACATGTGAATAGAATAGAAGCCTGTGGCACTGATATTTTACAATATTTTTTTATTTTACATTAATATATGAAATTGATCTATCAATAAATACTACTAATTGGGTACGTATTATTTTAACTTCGATAGTTTTTAATTGATTTATTTATTTATAGACTTCAAAAATTTTGTCGTTACTTTTTTAGTACCGAAAGTTCTTTTTTCAAATTATTACTATTAATAATAGATAAATTTCGTAATATGTTAATGTAAAATAAAAAAAAAATTAAAATATCAGTGCCATAGGCTTTTAATCCGTTCACCTGTTACACCGTTACAGTATATATTTTATATTAAGTTGTGCAGTAAATATATCGTTGAATATTTAACAGCTTTAATTAATTCACTATAAGACTTGTTTCCGATATTTATCATTGCATGGAGAAATCTTTTTACGTTGTTTGTTTAGCAAGTAGAATTTCCTCGAGGAAACAATAAAGTAGCAAGAAACGAGATTGTCACAGAATAATAGATAATATTAGGTATGGAACCTGGGAAGAGTGATCGCTACCAGGCTATTTCTAATTTGTTTTATATTTTTAATTATAACATACATGATTTTAAGCTGTTATATTTTTAAAAGTGCCGCTAGTTTTCTTGCCGGTTCTTCTCAGTACAGAGGTTTTTTTTCCAAACTAGTGATAAATTAAACAAAAGCGTGACTTTCAATAAGTATTATTTACAATCAATATTGAATAAAAAGTTTCCGTTTCTATAAGTCTTCGTATAAATTATTTTTAAAGATATTATCGTGATTTAATTATTTTACATTAAAATTAGTAAAAATATAAGTAAAATTTACTTATATTTTTAAAAGGCTTTTTTATTTCAAAATTAATTCAAACATGACAAAATCCGTAAATATTAGTTTCACTTTATCGTATATAATGATGCCACTGTATGCTCTGTATGTATATGTGCAGCAATTGGCGTGCATGTAGATGTACTCCGTTACAGCTTATTAAAGCCCACTGCTGAACGTAGGCCTCCCCATAGATTGCCTTGTTAAGCCTAAATAATTCTAGAACTGATAGAATTGAGTAGCAGCTGATAAGTATCATTATTGTAAATAAAATAAAATCATAAACATCAATATAATATTAAAATTAAGGTCAAAACGAATTTTAAGTAATTCACAACACAAGATAAACAACGGGGTTTTTTAAAAATATATTTATGACCGATGATATTCAAAAAAACAAAAATAGAGGATTAACGAAAACACGTTAAGGAAAATCTATAACGTATAGATTACATAATTTTAGTAAAAATCGTTGTCGATGAGTATGACTTCTCAACTGCTTTATGTTTTTTCATTATGATAATGCTTTGTAATCTACTAATATAAGAAATCGCCCACTTATTGATACTGTGACATAAAATACTCAATGACAGACAGATATAGAGATAAGATTTGCTGCAAATCATTGATATGTTGCAAGCCTGTAACATTCATTGCCGTGCGGTAGACAGCACTGATGATGCTCTATACACCGGCCGTGCCAGTATTTCTCAGGAAAACGTCGCCGAATACCGGAAAAAACTTGTGTCTGAAGCCAAATCTTTGCGGAATAAAGTCTCGGATTAGGGGAGACTAAATCTAGTCCAGTTTAATCCCCAGTAGACATAAGTGTGCGAGTTTACCGCTAAAAACCGTATCTAATCAGTTTCAAGGCACTCCCCTTGTTGCTTCAGCCAGTATCGGAATCCTCGACGCCGACATATCGAGTGACGTGCAGTTTCGTGATCACTTGGAAGAGAATCTCTAGAAGCTTTTAGGCCTCTAAAAGCTTGGCGCGATCAGCAGAGCGGTAACAGCATTGCAGGCCGGTACTAGGTAGTAACTTAACAAGGTGCAGGTTCGGCCGCACATGAATTATTAATCTCATCTTTGGGCAGGGGCTCCCAGTGCCAGCACATGACCGCATTCAGCGCAGAGTGGCTCGAATTGTCGACGACCGAGACCTCCTTTCGCATCTACCACGGGGGCTGCTCAGAGGAATTGTTCGGATTAATCCTAGCTGCTTAATTTGATGAATGCACATCGTGGCTAAACTTCCGATACCATCCACCACTGTACGTTTCACTAGGAGTTTTCTTCCGCGTACGACCTCTCTGTAGAATAGTTAACCACAAGCGATTTTTCCGGACCGATACGACTTAGGGACCGGTCAGAAAAGAGCTTACTCCTTTCTAAAAAGCCGACAACGCACCTGTAATTCCCCTGGTGTTGCGGTTGTTCATGGGCTGCGGTAGTCACTTACCATCAGATGAGCCGCATGCTCGTTTGCCCCGTCTGCTATAAAAAAGATAGACGGAAACAAATAAACATATGGGCAGCAGCGTCTTCCTAACGACTAAAAATAAAAACTGCGGTTCCCAACTCGCTTGCCAAGCGTAGAAGCTAAGGCAAATATCCTCCTATGTTGTAAACTATGGGGGAAGTAACGAAAAGCAAATGTCAAACGTTTCAATACTATAAACAGTAGGATACCTTTTCTGACAAGTTGTCCCTTTTTCACCTACTTCTATCGACAAGCTACAGTGCATTGCCGTGTTCCAGTCTGAAGTGTATAGAGACCCAGTATAATTCCCGGCTGTGCGGCATCCCATCGAATTCCTCCAAGGTAGCGACGAATCCGTAGGCCTCTTTGTTTGAAGTAAGTAGCCACATACCATCAAGTGGAATGTAAATATATTTATTTATTTATTTACTCTTTATAGTACACCAAAATAAAAAATATCGAGTACAGTCAAATCTAAAGTAGAATATGTACAACAGGCGGTCTTATCACTCTGAAAGTGATTTCTTCCAGACAACCTGTGTAGAGAACTGATGCAAATAATAGTTAAAATAGAGGGCGGCGTACAAAATATGAAAATACATACAAATAAAGATAAGTGAAAATTATATATAATATCATATAATAAATTATTGGAGAGTACGACAAAGAAAAAGTAATTTGTCTAATAGCGGTCTAAGTAATACGATTTAACAAGTCTTTTGAAAGAGTGAAGATATTTAGCACGACGAATGTTGAGAGGTAAGAGTTACAAAAACGCACAGAAGTTACAGTAAAGGATTTCTTAAAAAAGGAGGAAGAGTGCAAAGGAGTAGAGAGAGAGAGAGAGAGAGAGAGAGAGAGAGAGAGAGAGAGAGAGAGAGAGAGAGATTGACAGAGAATCGAAGGAACCGATTATGGGTATAGCGCTTATTACATTATACAATTTTTAGAAAATGTAATTAGGAACCTAAATTGGAAGCTAGTGATCACATTACACTAAATTGAATTCTAAATCGTGACGAAGCGCATTCGTAAAGAAGTATCGACGGGGTTGCACGTTTGACCAATGGCGCAGTATTTATCAAAACAGCAGAAGATAGGACTTGCCTTAGCCGTGGTGGGAACAATGGATATTAAATAAGAGAAAAGAGTACTTGTCATTGAGAAAAAAACTGTCCAATATGAATATAATTATATATTTTTAGATTCTAAGCAATTTTTTATAGGATAGGGTCACAAACTAGCACACAGTCCACCTGATGGTAAGTGGTTGCTGCGGCCCATGGACATCTACATCTATCTCCAATTACAAATCAAAATGCAGATGGAATGCCTCGTTTCCAGTAAAAAGGGTCTCCGGTTCTCTACACTCGCCATACGAAACACAGCAACATTAAGCTACTATTTTACGCTGGTATTCTGTGAAAACGTGGTACTTCCTCGGTTAAGCCGACCCATTAGTGCTACAACTATACAACTAATATAACTGTACCATGGCTCTACCACCTATAAAACAGTTTGATTATTTGTTAAGTTTGGTATCTAAACATATTGAAAAAGAAGTCACGATATTTCGATAAAGTGTGAGTGCCAAAGAATGTTTGATGGTGACATTACGTTTTATAGCCACCGGAAATTAATATTAAGATTTAAAG